TTGACCCACCTTGCACCCTTATATTTTGTACTAAATTTCACTTTGACCTCTACACATAAAATCATGACAGTTAACCCCTGCACTTCTGGTCAAATTTCACTTTAGTCACTTCACATGAAATTGTAACAATCAACCCTCTATATTTTAAGTCAAATCTTACTTTGGTCCCTATATAAGTGCTAGTGCCATGTTTTGTTATTCAATTGTTTAAATCTTTAACAGAATCTAGTTATGTGATAAAATGTGACTACGACATAAGGATAAGAAAGGAAAATCATTTACAATCTTCACCAATGCACATTTTATCTTAAAATTTAGATCAAAATATGACTGTATTAAGCTAAAAACAAAATGCAGATTGTGAACAATTAAAAGATGAATTAGGGTTTTGCAAAAATTAAAATCACGAAATTTTATTTTTTATGATAACACAATTTTCTGTTTATTCATCTTTCTTTTTCTTTTATTTCTTTGTCATATTTTTTTATTTTAAAATTTCTATTTTTTTTCCTTTTCATCCAAATTTTTATCACACGAACACACACACACACACACATATATTGTATTATATAATTCTCATGCACTTATCACGTAAGATAAAATGTATTGGTGGAAAACATGGATGATTTTCCTCTTTTATCCTCATTTTGTAGGCACATTTTTGTCACATGACTAGATTTTGTTAAAGATTTAAAAATAAAGTAACAAAAGAGAGACATTGACACTTGTGTAGAGATCAAAGTAAAATTTGAGTAAAAGTGCAGGGAGTTGACTGTCACGATTTTATGTTTAGAGACCAAAGTGAGATTTGACCATAAATGCATGGGTTAATTGTCATGATTTCATATATAAGGGCTAAAGTGAGATTTGATGCAAAATTTAAGAGTGTAAAGTGTAACTTACCCTATATATATATACATGTATATAATTGAGTTTAGATCCTCTTCAATTGAATATCTCATGAGAAGGGTGTTCATGAGTTTCGTGGGCTAAACTATGGTCTTTATCCGGATTATCTAAGTCAATCATTTTATAAAACGCTTCGAGTATATTTTTATGCAAAAAATTAAGTGAATTAGATAAACATATTTACGTGTTCAGTTAACATTTATCTTCAAAAAATAGACAACTCATTCTCAAAATTGTACTTGTTTCATTTTAAAGAAAATATAAATATGACATAATTATGTAATTACGATTGTATGATTGACTTAATTTTTTGTATAAATAATTTACTGTATGAACTCTATAACATCAATAGTCTAAATCATGAAGGTGAGACTAGTGATTAAGATGACGAAATCTAACACACCACCCTCCAGTTGAGATGTGAAACCTGACTTTATTTTTTTTAATAAAAGCATGGTGACATTGTCTGTGCACGTTGGAGATCCAAATTCCAAATATATATATATATATATATATTTATTTTTATTTTTATATGTCATCACCTTGTTTAAAAAACAACCAAAAATGACCAAACTTTAATAATACATCATATAAAAATGGTGGGAGGTAATGGTGTGAGGGAAACTTTTATGCAATGTTTTAGATGTCATGTGTGTGTGACAGTTTTACCAACCAGTTTGGCTGTGTGATTTGTTGCAATCAAATATAGTAACCAACAATTGAGATAGTGCCTTTGATCCGAGTGACTCCGATAAATGTAATTTTTTTATCCAAGTCACTACCCAAAAATTAGTTTTTTTGGCTAAAAAAATTAAAAGTCAACTTTTTACAAATTTCTCAAAACACCACAATATAATATCACAAGTGACTCACACAGTTATGTGCATGGATTAATTTTAATACCATTTATAATGTCTTATCACTTTCCAGCTCTAGTAGTAGTAATCTATAGAAAGTGGATTTACTATGAAATTTTTTAATGTAAGATAGGATTGTTACATTTTTAAAGAGTGCCTATTATAATGTTTCCTAAACCCACAATTTACTGAATGAGAAAAAAATTTGTTATATCACTGGAACTTTTAAGTGAAACTATTCACTTGTTATATGTTTATTTTTTTATTTTTTTATGGTGAGTTTGATTATTATTTAAATATAATACGTCCTTCATGTATACTTGATGTTTATTATTTTAGTATAAATAAAGGATAAACTAAAATGGTGAAATGTATTTAGTGATAATATTATTTTAATAAAAAAATATATATGTCAGTCAAAGAATGAATTTTATATTTTTTACCGTATCTTCCGTAAATCCACACAATATCTATATAATGTTTGTTGTCTACATGCATGAATCAAAAAGAAGAAGAAGAAATCTATTGGTGATGATTAAGGGTGTTAAAAAAAAAAAAATTCAGTGACACCCATAAAATCATATGATTTGGTATAGATCTTGAGGGAACGGTTTGATTCCAGTTCTAATAAATTAAGAATTATTGATTATGATTTGGTTCACAAATTTGAACTCACTCAAAAACCCATTTAAACCGATTCGAACCATTCCCTATTCTTTATTTATAGGAGTGTTACCCATTGTATTTATTTTCAATTTCACTGATTTCCTAAAACCTCAATCTCATTCCCACGTCAATGAAGTCTTTCTATCTATAATAAAATATATCCATTACATCATTTAAGAATTGTGAAATTTACAAATCTAGAGTCCTTTAATTGAGAATTGTACCCCGCTTGATTTTATTTAATGGGATTTTTTTTATTAACTTTGAGGAATACATTGAGAAAAAAAAGGATTATGAAAAAAAGACTTCATCACTTAAAAGAAAATTTCAAAAATATTTTTCTAAATATCTTAAATTAAATAATTTCATTATTTTTTTTACATTGAAAAGTTTTATTCTAACTTTTATTTTCCTTGTATATCTATTCTAACAGCACTGATTCAATACTCTAAATTTGCATCACTAATGTTAGCTCTAATGAGCTGACAGTGCAAGAAATTAAAAAAAAAGAAGCTAAACTATCACATCAATGGTGGGTCTACATCAGCGCCACATTCCGAAGCATTTTTGCTATTCTAATAAGTAATATATAATTTATTGTGTTCCCTATTGGATCACTTCGGCAGAGGAGAATATTTATTTGAAAAATGTTGAAGACCCCTAATTTAGGAACTCTTGAAGAGCTCTAATTGGTAGGACCCACCTCTTGATGTGATGTTTATTTATTTATTTATTTATTTCTTGTCACTGCCAGCTTAGCTCATTAGAGTTGGCAGTAGTACTACTGATTTAGTGGGTCTAAATCAAAACCCTATTTATTTTGTTGGGCTTTTACACATAAAGAAGTTTTATTTTTGAGTGAAGAGCCACTGTTCAAGCGGCCGAAGTTGGGTATTTTAAGAAGGCCCAGCCCAACGTTAACGGGCCCTTTAAAATTGAAAGAGTCTACAAGCGAATTCGTTCCCGCGTTTTCAATGTGCAAACCCCTCAAACTTCACCATCTTCTCTGCAACCTCCCTCCAAGGCGTGAATCTCTCTCTATCTCTGTCTCTCTCTTCTATTGAAAAACAATGGAAATCGGGTACGAACTTTGACCTAATTGCATGGTGTTCTTTTGAAGATCTCATTCCTCTTGATCTGCTAGGGTTTTAATGTTCGTTGCTATTTTGGTTGTTGTTTAATCTACTCTTAAGATCTTGTTGTTTCGTTATCTTTGATTCTTCTGTGTTACGTGGTTCATCAATTAGAATTGTGTTGATCTGATTTTTTGTGTGTGTTAATTTCTCTAATTTGTTATTAGGTACAGAAATTCATGGCTTATTAGTACTCGAAATTTGAAAATTTCTAGTACGGTTTGAATCTTATTGTGAAAATCTGATGGTAATTGAATTCATCTAATTGCACATTGTCATTGTTGCAAGATTTATTGAGAAGTGACTAACTCCTGTTGTCTCTGAACTTTTTGGTAGTCTTAGAATCAGAATTTTCTGATTACTTTCTACTGCTTTTGAATCATATTTTGAACATATGAAGCTAGTTTGATTCATATTTTGAACTAGGTTTGATTCAATTATGTGAAGCTAGTTTGATTCTTTGATGATAATGTCTTGGATCACATCATTCCTAATATTTTGTTGAGTTTTCCTTCAATTTAATTTACTTCAAATTGTTTATGAACATATAGATATTTTAACATAATGTGTATATTATGTTGTGGCAATTATTGTTTTGCATTTGCAAACCAAAACAATTTAATTTTTTATTTATTTATAAAAATGTGTTAATATGAATAAGATTGTATTTTTTTGTAATTTAACTAGTGAAAAATAGAGAGTATGGTTGGAGTTGCTATTAGACATAGTTATTTAATTTGGTGGTTCTTTGACAAAAATGTTTTGTTTCTTTGAAGGAATTTTTTGACAAATATTGAAGAGAATAAAATTCTGAGGGCGAGCGCCTCACTCGCCTAAGGGATGGGCCAGCACTGGTGATGGGACATAGGGCAAACAAAATTTTTGAGATAAAGGCTCTCATGCCGTCGACTCTTGAGGTATATGTAAGCTTTTTCTATTGTCCTTTTCACTTGCACCATTTGTATAGATGATGCAATCATTTGGACTATTTGGAGAACAATAAATGATATTGTTGTTGAAATTTTTAAGCTTAGAGTGGTATCATGGCTTAAACTTCATGCTAATTGTTTTTTTGATATTCGATAATTGACTTCATTTATCATCTTGATGGCATCAAATCTGCAAAATTCTGGGTTGGGAGGTGTTTTCTTGGATGCTGGGGGAGGAGGTTGTGACTTTTTTTACCCCCTTTTCCCAAGCATATGCTCGCTTGGTAGTGCTCTTGCTGATTTGGCAGGGCTGCATTTAGCTTTGTTTCTGTCGCATTTGTTTTTTTTTCATTCTCTTGGATGGTTTTTGGTTCTACTTCTTGTACCATGGATTACATCTATGACAATTTTCTTTGTTGATAAGAAAACTAAAAACTAAATTAAGTTTTACATGCATACCAAAATAAAAAACACCAATAATGATAAAAGTACATTTTTAGCAAGCATACAAAAACTTGTGGTGATCCACGCAACAATTTATTACTCAAATTCAGGTCAAAAGTTGGAAGAAAGACACTTCGTGAAAGTGAAAAGAAAAAAGAAAAAAGAATAGAATGGAAAATTCCTCACCATTATTCCATTTATTGGTGACATGAGAACTAAATTTCGAAACAAAAACCAGTGGCCTTGACTAGTGATTTGGCACCTTTATATAACCCAAATGTGTCGAGTTTTCAGATTTAGAAAGGGTCATTAGATCATAAGCAATCCAACACCTGGATGTCTCTTGGTGATAGAAATAGCCCATACAATTGCAGTCCTTTGAACATTTCTTCCCACAGTCATCCAACATCATGGGTCCATCTCCCGTGGTGTAGGTGCTCATGAAGTGGTCAACCCCTTCAAGTTTGTAGTAGTGAAAATAATTTTGCCTACAAGATGTAGATGACACCTTCAAGGCTTCACAATCCTTGCTCCAACCCATCAACCCTTGGGATAGTGGGCAAGCAACACATTGGGAGGACTCACAAAGCCCAAACTTTCCACACCTCTCCGGCAGTTGGCACTCGCTGTCATGGCCCATATCTCTATCGAATAGAGCATAGGTCACCTCCCATGCACCCCAATCCACCTTGTCATAGTAAGTGTAAAACCTAAGGTTTCCGTCAATCCCCAACCGGAGCAACGTTAATGTGCTGTTGTATTTGGGCCTAGCCAAAAGAGGGATGGATCGGTCTAACGTGTTAGTTACATAGTATTCTAAATTTAAATCATAGGCATAACCCTCAACGGTGTCTGGGGTACAAGTCAACGTCACATTTTCTATGGTACCCTTGCTAATGCTAATATACCATCCAGAAGATGAAAAATAGAGCAATGGCTTAGGGGAATTATTGCTCGTATAGTACATGGCCATCCTTTTGGGCTCTAACACAAAGGTATAAGGCCCATTTGAGTTGTCTTGAGCAGAAGCCCGACTCACAAGTTTGGAGGGTCCTCCAACCCGAAGAGACTGGCCCACTAAGAGGGTGTCAGTTGGGTAATCAAAGCTTTGCCATACAAAATTTCCCCTGGAGTCATGAAGGACCATATTACCATTTGGAAGCAACTTGAAGCCAACCACCCCTTTGTTGGCAGTGTCAGTTTGCCACGCAACCCGGCCGTCAGCATCAGCCAGGACCAGGTTTCCGTCCGTCCCGAAGGTTAGGGCTGCGTTTTCACGAACCGGGTTGCCGCGGTTGGCTTCCCACACCCAACGGAAGAGAGACTCAGACCGGACCAAGCCCATACGTAAAGCTAGGGTGAAGGCATTAGGGGTGGTGTTGTAGAAGCAAAGTTGGAAGGGAGAGCTGAAAACATCAAGAGTACGGTAACTCCCGTCGTACTCGACTATGTAATCTCCAAATGGTCCTGCGTTGACAAACTTGAATGTGCTTGAGGCAGGAACAGTGGCTTGTGAAAGGGAAGAAAGTGTTTGGACCAAGAGAAAGAGATGGAGAAAAGAAAGAGTGAATGGATAAGAAGATGACATATTGGATGTTTGTGTTTGATGTGGTGGTGTGAGCTTTGGGTTGGTGCTTCCAAATTTAAAGAAGATGAGGAAGGGTAAGTTTGTAATTTCCTTCATTCTAATACTTTATTTATTGTACAGTTCCTCTTTGTATTGCATTATAGGGGTCGGTGGGTCATAGAGAGTCTAGAAGGCGGCTTTATAACTGGTTCCTTCATTTTTATTATTATCAGTGTGCTTTCTTGCCACTTGCTGTCGTCCTCAAAAGATGTGTAAAAACTGCTTCCACATTTTGTTTTTAATCTAATAATTTGGTAAAAAATTTTAAAATATAAAAATTTCACAACAGGATTGTACAATTGAAAATGTAATAAAATCACATCAAATAGAATCACAAAAATTATAAAAATTAAAGTTTTTATGCCCACTAAAATATTAATACTTAACACTCTATCGTTACATATTTTAATTTTTGTAAATCTTATAAAAAAAAACAACTTATACAATATTTCTTATACGTATCACTCGTAATGTGTTGTCCGTTTACTTATTTTTGTTATTTAGCAAATTTTTCTTTTTCATATTTTTTTTTTTGACAAAGACTAAACATAAATTGTATTTCAATTTTAAGAAAATGTTCGGAAAAACACATTGAAGTGAGTGTGTGTTTATGTGTTGAGAATAAGAGTGACTCAACTGAGATTTACATCCCCATCTCCATTTTGAGAGGATCACTTTGGATGCATAGAATTATTTATGTTAATATTTTTCTTTATATTATAAAAAATATCTAAAACATTAAATGTAGCTTGGAATTTTGTTAACATGGCTTTTTTTTGTTTTTTTTTGCTTTTTTAGTTAAAATAGTTGATAAATACAAAATAAATTAAAATAATTAATAAAATAAAATATCATATATATATATATATATTTTTTTTTTTGATTCAAGTGAAAAGGAGAACAAAGTAAGAGAGTTTTAGTACAAACAAGTAATCAAACAGAGGGCATCAGCCCCTAGTTAAACTAGCAGAAACCATGTCTGCAATTAGAAAAGAAGAAATTGAATTGGTTGACTCCAATATTGGCAAGTACATTTGCACATTGATTTTGCTTCTCTGAGGATATATTGGACGCTACACTTGCATCTCTTCGGCATGAAATTAGCATCCTTAATCAGAGCTCGGTAAGGAGATGATTTTTCAGCTCTATCCTGAATTAGTTCCATTCTAAAATGTCATATTTAAATTATAATCATTTTATTTTTTTTCACAATATCAAATCAACTTCAAAAAAAAAGTTAATTATCATTTTAAATATAATTTTTTAAAATTAAATTAAAATAATCAAATAATTAATAAAATTAATTAAAATAGTCAAATTTTCAAATGGCGCCACTGCAAGTCCAAAAAAGATGACTCCAAGCCTCCAATAGTAATCTAGAATGTGATTCCCTGTATTATTTTCGCTGGCTAGCTTAGCCTTTTCCTTATCTACTTATCATATATGTATATATTTCTGTACATGAACCAAGGTACTAAACCCAAAAACATTGTATATGACCTGATCATATAATTATTTATATTTTATTAAATTAAATTTTTACTTAAATAATTTATTAAATAAATATAATAAAATAAATCAGTATGACAAAATCAATAGTCTAGATTATAAAAGTAAACTAAGGTGAGCCTTGAGAGTAGTACTAGGTATAGGGTTATTTAACTCATAAAAATTGTTTAACTCGAGACGTTCTCACCTATTTGAGCGGTTTTGCAAAATTGTTACGTTAGTGTCGGATGTGGGTAAGGATTTTTCTATTTTACGAGTTGCGAGTTGATCGTAGGTTTTATTCGCACCCGCACTCACTCGCCCGTATTTATATAAATTATTTAGCTTATATCTTTTTTGCAGAGTGAATGTGAGTCAATTGACTGATCCTAGTCAGGGTTGGCCTTGGGCATAGGCCCACCAGGCCATGGCCTAGAGGCCCTCAAAATAGACCCAAAAAAGGGACCTATTCTATTATAATTTAGTGCAATACATTAGATATGTTTTAAGTCTAAAAAAAATTGAAGAAGGCCCAAACTAACTTAAAATAAATTGATCCATTCAAAAATTGAAATGCCCATTCAAAAAAGTTAACATTGTTATCTATTGACAATAGACCTAAAAAAGGGTCCCCTCTTATTATAGTTTAGTGTAATATATTAGGTATGCTTTAAATCCAAAAAAAAAATTAAGGAAGGCCTAAACTAATTTAAAATAAATTGACTCATTAAAAAAATTAAAAGGCCTATTTAAAATAATTAGCATTGCTATCCATTGAAAATGATTTTGTAAAAAAACTAGATTATACAAGTATGATTGATTTATTTGTTTTTAAAAATGTAAGAAGAGTAATAATCAAGCGATACTGATTAATTGTTGTAATGTAATACTAAAAATAATTAAAATATTAAAGATATGTTTAATATTGCTATTACTTAATAAATAATTAAATTGAAAAGGATAAAATAGTCATTTGAACATTTATCATTCTTCATAATATCTCAAACAAATATAAAATTCATATCTTATCCAACCAAATAATCTTTTTCTGATATAATCCATGATTAAACAAACATGGGATACATATCCTATTCAACCAAATAGTTCCAAGATTATGAATCTCAGGATTACAATCTGATAGATTTCAATTCCTTCTTATCCAGTCCGTCTAAACAAACATGTTGTATGGACTTTCATAATTAAGTAGAAAATTATAATTTGTTGATTTATTATTATAAGGAATTGGATTGTCTTTAGTTGGGTATGTTAGACTTATTTATTTTGATAATTTATTTAACTATGTTTTAATTTATTTGAAAGAGAAAAATAGAATCCAAAATTTATTTTGATGATTTATTTAATTATATTTTAATTTATTTGAAAAAGAAAAATAGAATCCAAAATTTGTTTTGATGATTTATTTAATTATGTTTTAAATCTAAAATTTATTTTAATGATTTATTTAATTATGTTTTAATTTATTTGAAAGAGAAAAATAGAATCAAAATTTATTTTGTCTCATTATTTCTCACCTAAACCTTTATCCTAAATGTTGTTAGAATGAATTTAATATTTGATTAAATCAGGAGTTCAAATAGCCCAAAACAGAGGTTCAAACAGCCCAGCATAGTAGCATGTCAAAAGGTTCAAACAGCCTAACCAAGTAGCAGGCCAAAAGGTTCAAACAGTCCAGCACAGCAGCAGGCCAAAAGGTTCAAAAACCCCAAGCACAACAGTAGGCCAAAAGGTTCAAATGGAAGATATTCAAATTAGTAATGATGGAGTACAACGGTTATAAATTCAAATAACGGCTATAAACGGTTATAAGTTTCATTATATATACCAAAGCCTCTAATGTAAACAAGTTACAAAAAAAATTAAAAAATATTCTTTGATCTATAATCACTCACATCTATTCTCTGAAAAATTTTCTGAGAAGTGTTTTTTAATTTTTGTTTACATCCTCTCTCAGAAATTATACACTGAGCCTTATAGTATTAAGTTCATCTTTCTTGTGTGAGATTTACAGAAAAATAAAAAATTCATTTTTTATATATATCTTTGAGATATAATTCTTATAGCTTTTTGTGAAAGTAAAAACACCTTCTTTTTAATCTTGTAAGAGTGTAGTACACTCAGTATTCTTGACTTAGAAAGTCTGTGTAAAATTCGTGGAGGATTGCTCCATTTATAAAGAGGCTGCTAACACCCCCGTGAAGCTAGAACATAGTGGAAAATCGCAAGTGAAGCTTGAGGAGTGGACGTATGTCGAGTTGAAACCGAACCACTATAAACTTGTTTGCCTCTCTCTCTCTTATCTCTTTGTTTTATTTAAATTGCTGTAGTTATATTTCACATTTTCTGTCACGACCCAAACCCGGTATCCAAAGGCTCAGCATCGTAATAAGATAAAAATAATATAATTCGGATAATTCTGTAGTCACAGCGCAAACGGATAAATTAAATAAATTAAAATAAATAACTGGGTACCAACTGTTTATTTAAAGGGAACTAAAACATATTTACTTGAACTTCATTGTACTACAAGAGTCTAATAATAAAAGATAGAAAACAAAATAACATAGCGATTCATTTTCCATTTTAATCCTGCTAAACTTCGTCACCTGAAAGGGGTAACAGTTATAGGCACATAGCAGAGTGAGAAATATCATACAATGAGTGTAGGGGCACAAAATGGTCATGGATATTTATTTAAGCTAAAATATTAACATAAATTGGGTTGAGTTGGATACACAAATTAATTAAGTGCCAGAAACTGAAATAATCACTATAATCACGGTACATCACTAAAGTAACAATCACTACAGAAGTCAATGGATCCATGACAACACTGGACCACAAAGTGGTCAAACACTAGCCAATGGTTATTTTAAGTCTCCCAAGGCATGGGACTCCCGTGGTGGTACTCACAAAACATATTTTCATATAAGGTCATAGGCTAATATTCTTTAAAAGTAAAACAAACATATTCATATGTTTCACTTTTAAGCAAATAGGGTTCAGAAATAAAACAACGTAGTTGAAACTTTTATAAAACATAACTTTTATTAATATATTAATAAAACATAAATTATATAAAATAGATTTTGATAAGTCAAAATATAAGTAAAATATTTTTTGGTAACTCAAGGTATAATATAACTCACTTTAAATTAATTCCTTTATCCTTTCTTTCCACTACCACTCAAGATGTTCACCCGTGCGTCCTCTTATCTACTTTCTATTTTTTTCTTTCCGTTGCTTTAAACATGCCACTTTTTCCTATTTATAGAAAGGTAAATCGTGGGTAGCAAGTCACAGAAAGTTCCGAAATTTTGACGCGTGTAAAACTTGCTATTTACTCCAGTCCACCCTTATCCATTTTATTAATTAACTTGTTTGAATTCTATCTTTTTACTTGACCATTGACTAATCCATCTTCTTAGGACTTAGACATATTTTGACCATTTGACCATTTTTTTAATTTAAAAGTTATTACCTTCTTTGGTAATTTAAGATGACTTCTAAAACTTAAGTATAATGATAAGTTAGGTTCATGTCTAAAAACCTCACTACCCAACTATAGAT